ATTTGCCTGACTTTGATGATTTTGTGTCTTGGGAACAACAACTCTACAGTGCTAAAATTGCCTTGTTGTGCAGAATAGCATCCCTTGAGACAGTGATGTGTACAGGGGTTGAAGTCCCCCAGAGAAACGTGTCTGATGAGCAGGCATAAGGACCTGTGCACAGCTCTCCTGCCAGAAACCACCATCTTGGCTGTCTGGGATTTGTTGTGTCCAGCTCAGGGACTGACTCTTGGCTGCTTCGTGCAGCCTTCATTGGGGAACGTGTTCCCTTCTCCATCTGGAAGCTTGCACAGAAGACTTTGCATTTCCGCTAAAATTCTGCCTCTCTGAGACCCCTCCAGGTAAGTCTGAAAGTCCAGAAGGTACTGCAGATAAGGCTCAGAAGACAGCAGCCAGGAGCATCCACCAGCAGCCACCTGAGAGCCACACTATCCTAGACCTGGGCCCAGAGGGGGCAGGATGCAGGGAGGCCTGCTTGCCTGAGACATGATCTCAGTGAAGTGCTTCTGCTTGAGGATGAAAAGGCAAATATTCACAGAACTCAGCAAGGCAGGGGCGCTGGCAATCAGGAAGTGAATGTAACCAAAGTATATGGCAAGAGAGAATGGGACAGGTCAAACATCAGAGGTGTTTCCAATGCTTTGTGTGATGGAGGGCTATAGAATCAGGGTGTTGGCTGTGGAAGGATTTCCAGGGACATGAGGGCAGGTGCTTTTTAGCTGTGAGATGGGCCTAAGTGAATACGCTTTGATATTAATAAGAAAAGTCCAGACTCTAGCTGCAGAAGCAGTACTTGCGTCATACACATTGTAGCTTCTTCTGTAATGTGGTTGACTCACAAAAGGAAAAGAAAAATTTTGGTAAAAGGGGTGCATTCCTGAACTTCATCTCCCATTTCCAAGAGATCTTCAGAGATCTCATGGAAGAATCAATTTTATGTTAAAAACTGACTATGCATGACTTTTAAATGAGTTGTGTGCATGAAACATAGCTCTTGATTTTTTTGTTCTCTGTGAAAATTTGAGTCCATTTGCATTTTCTTTGAAGTGCTCCTGAAGATATATAGGGGTTTGTGAGATGCTGCCTGCATTGCAGTTTTCTGGGTATGTGTATTTTTCATTTGTGATTGTATGTCTGCTACTTGTTGGAGGCTGTCAGCTTCTGGAGATCACATCTCTTTCTAAAAGTTATGCCCCTTAATTCTTCATTCTGAAAGCAACTGTTATCATTTGATTAATCGTCACATTCATCTTTCATTACCATGTTTGGATCCTAACAACCTTCCTATGAAATTACACTGTCAGAGATTGTTTCCTTTCACCATTTTTATCTTGTTTTTCAAATTTCAGAATGGTTGAAGTGCAGGACTGGGGAAGGGAGAAAGGGTAGCATGTCCCTGTGCTCCAAAAATACATTAGATATTATAACTTCGTATAAATTAAGTTCAAAGTTGTGAAACCTTAAAATTTAAAAAACATTACAAATTAATTATAACTGTCATCATTGGGAGAAAAAAAAATAAAAACCTTGAAACACCCACCTTTACTGCTGCGCAAAACACCCATCCCTCTCATAGTCTTAAAAATACTCTTATGTCCCATGCAAATACTCATGTACTGTCTATACAAATACATGAAAATAATCCTTTAAACAACATGAACTTTTATCAAACTCAGTATGATATAATCAGCGCAAGATCTTACCTTTTCTTTCTACATGCTCACCTACATTCATTATCACCATGAGATGTCTGATTCTACATTTTTCAAACACGTTTTTCATCTACTTGTTTAAAAGAAGGAGCAACAAACGGGGAGAGAGTGAGTGTCTTTGTTTAGTCTGACAGCCAGGGCTGGCCAGGCTGAAGCCAGGAGCCAGGAACTCCATCTGGGTCTCCCAGGTGCATGGGAAGGATGTATGGACTGGGGTCAGCTTCTGCTGCCTTCCCAGGAGCCAGGAACTCCATCTGGGTCTCCCATGTGCATGGCAAGGATGTGTGCACTGGGCTCAGCTTCTGCTGCCTTCCCAGGTGCATCCCCAGAGCTGCACCTGCAGCAGAGCAGCTGGGACTCAAAGTGCACCTCTGATAAGGGATGCCAGCCTTGTCAGAGGCACTTAGCTTGTCACAGACACCACAGTTCAGGTCTCTAGTTCTTGTGATCATCTTAATAATATGTGAGGTGCGGACCCACTCTGTTTTTGCAGATAGAGAGCCACCTGTGCTAGAACTTATGAAACATTTCAAACTTTGCTCTCTAAAATGTAACACTGTGTTACTATGGACCCAATTTTGTCTTGAACACTCTAACTTAGTCTCCTCCCTTTATGTTTGTTGTCATGAACCCCACATGATGAGAGATAATATCCCTGATGTAAAGAAAGAATATTATATACACATAGAATATCTACATAGGAAGAGAATATTGCATATGTGAAACCCTATTACATTTGAAAAATATTTTTGATTTAATAAATTTAAAATAAATTTGCAAGAGATTAAACGCCCATATAATATATAAGACAAATATTGATCAAAACCATCAACTTTAACATTGTATGTGTTCTATGCCAGAATATTCCATGTCACATATGTTGTAATCAGATAATAACTAATTGATTTATGAATACATGTTTGTATTGAACTGTTGCTATGCAGTTCATGTTGGAGACTTTCTTTTGTTCTAATGATTCTTGGAGAAACCTAATGATTTGATTCTTCTCCTGTTCCTGCCATTTCCTTATTCAAATCTGTCTCTGTCTTATGCACCCCTATTCACTGGATGATGTCATGATTGGAAAAGAAATAGTGTTAAGGCGGCTGCTCATTTAGCCCTTCTAGTAGCAAAGAGAAGACACCATATACTTAGAGAAATGCCTGTGATATAATGTCTTGAGGGACGCATGGTGTGGAGAATGTTATTTCATCTAAATTATGAAGTAGTTAATTTTGAAAAGAATGTGTGCAGAAGGGACTGTGTATGAAAGGCAAATATCTGAAGTAGGACCAGAGAGTGTTCAATGGGTTTATTAGACGAGAGAAAATAAAAACTCAGAATAATAGGCTAACAAATATGAGATCCCTGCAAAGGACAATGAAGGCCTGCCCTCAGCCTGTCAGACTTCATAGAGACCAAATGCTCCAATAGTATGAGATAGATGGGAAAAGATTCAGGTTGACACAAAAAATTCCAAGTCTAATATTGCTATTCTTTGTGTGTTGCCTTCATGGAATTGCTGGTTTATTCTCTGCTCATTTTTTCCTGTCATAGTGTTCATTCCAAACTTTTCTCAATGCTGCTAGGATATCATCATTTTGTTCCATTAGATGCTTGATTTTGAACCTTCTGCTGTTTTCTGCTGGGCATTAAGGATTTATAATTGGAACGGCATGACTGAACACCAGTGAAAGTTCTTCTAATGATCTCTCCAGAGTTCCCTGATCTTGTTAGACCCTCCTTAGGGACAGTTCCATGTATTTGGCACTTAAAAAATTCTGAACAATGCAGATAATGGACACATAGAAATGTAGCCAGTGGGAGAGTCACAAGCTCAAATAAAGTGTACTGTTTGCACTCTGTCGTGACAGTATGTGTGACAGTGACAGCCCCACAGAGCTCCTCTCCAATGATGTGACTGGGATGGGTAGAGAGTTCATGCTTAATAAAGAAGGGGACCATGGTGTTCAACTATGTGTCACAGGGGCTTGAAAGAGATGGTAGAAAAACAGGAGTAAGAGAAGTGTGAATTTCCACTAAGTTCCTGACACTCCCATATGCCTGGTCTGCACATGCATATTATTGTGTGTGCGTCTACATGTGTGTGGTGGTGAGCAAAGACAGTGAAAGAAAAAAAGGCACTTAGGCTCATCACACAGTCTCCAGCATGCACTGGCTCAAGTTCATGGTTGATTGACTTTCTCATGCCGAAAAGGCTACACTGTCCTTTGAATGCTGACCGAGCCACAAGGTTGTGATTTTTCTCACTCGTGGACAGTGGGAGGTGAGGCACAGATCCCATGGGGCTGTGCAATTCCCACTGGCAATACAAGCTACTAAAGCACAGTGTTCATGAGCTTTTCTCTTTTCACGGAATGTTTTGGTTAATTGGGTAAGTGTAATTCACGAGAACTTATGTCCTCAAATGTCACACATACTACAGTAGCCAAAACACACAAGCAGAGGTGTAAATATAGCGTCACCATTTTCCCTTCTGGGAAGTTGTTTGCAGCTCATCAGAGAAAGACTGACTGCAGTGACATTGGACAGAAGGACTCCCTCCATCTTGAAGTGTCATGGGGATGAGCCTACGGCCTGCCTTATATTCACTAACCTGTCTCTCAGCCCTTTCCTGTTACTGATCCTTGTTTTTGGAATCTACTGCAGTGTCATTAATCATCTGAAATGAACCCTACCAGATAATTTTGTGCACCTGCTTTATGTTCGTTGAGATCTTAATCTTTGACCAAATGTCACACTTTTTGCTGGGCTTCCATGAACTGCAGAAACAGGCAAGTACAACCCAATTTACCCTGGCTCTCTTACCTGATTTCTTTCCTTTCCAGCAGAGCTGTGCATCCAGTGATGTGTTGCATGCTTTGTCTTGTCTTCTTCACTCTTAGGGATGCTTGTGTCTCAGCGTTGCTCACACACTGCTGAAACAGAGCCTGGAACATGATGATTCAACATCCTATGCTCAAGGACGTCATGGAATCTCACTGTAGCTGCAGCAGGCACAGCCTCATGAGGAAGTGAGCATAAGCAGGGAGGAATTCTACACCAGAGAACAGAGGCATTCTGGGGGCATTCAGACTGACATGAAGAACACACATCATGGTTCTGGCAGTGTGTAACTAGTGCTCACATCTACGCATTTTTTCACATTTTGGCAGTCACATTGCTGACATGGAAGCAGGGAACCACACATGGGTTGTGGAATTCCTTCTCCTGGGCCTTTCCGAAGATCCAGCACTGCAGCCTCTCATCTTCATGGTATTTCTCTCCATGTACCTGGTCACTGTCAGTGGGAACCTACTCATTGTCCTGGCCATCCTCACAGACCCCCACCTGCACACGCCCATGTACTTCTTCCTCGCCAACCTGTCCATGGTGGATGTCTGCTTCACCTCCACCACTGTCCCCAAGATGCTGGTCAACATCCAGACACACATCAGAGCCATCAGCTATGCAGGCTGCATCACACAGATGTTCTCCTTTTTATTCTTTGTAGCGCTGGACAACTTTCTTCTCACCGTGATGGCCTATGACCGGTTTGTGGCCATCTGTCATCCTCTGCACTACACGGTTATCATGAACCCCCATCTCTGTGTGCAGCTGGTTCTGGTGTGCTGGACCATCAGTGTCCTGCCTGCACTATCAAACAGCTTATTGGTGCTGAGGCTGAGCTTCTGCACACACATGGAAATCCCTCACTTCTTCTGTGAGTTGAATCAGGTGGTCCACAGAGCCTGTTCTGACACCTTTCTCAATGACCTCATTATACAATTTGCAACTGTGTTGCTGGGAGGAGGTCCCCTGGTTGGGATCCTGTACTCTTACTCTAAGATCACCTCCTCCATCCGTGCCATCTCATCAGCTCAGGGAAAGCACAAAGCCTTTTCCACCTGTGCCTCTCACCTCGCTGTTGTTTGCTTGTTTTATGGCACAGGACTGGGTGTGTACCTCAGTTCAGCTGCTATACAAAACTCACACTCAACTGCAGCAGCCTCGGTGATGTACACCGTGGTCACCCCCATGCTGAACCCCTTCATCTACAGCCTGAGGAATAATGATATCCACAGGGCTGTGAAAATACATCTGAGGGAAATCTTCCGATGGCCATTTATAACTCATATCCACAAATCAGGTCTTTAAAACTCAGAAGTGCCAAGTGGAACGCCACCCCCCCCCCACCCACTTACCCTTCGGCTCATTTTCTGAAGTCTTGGCCTTGTTGTACAATTTGTATTTTGCTGCTTCCTTTCTGAGGTTTTCAGTTCTCTTGGAGTTCCACACATCTCTTCCTTGTTCGTTTTTCACTTTCCCAAAATCTTTTTGAGTTTAAAATTAAACCACCTTGACTTCCTTTCTGAGTCATAAAGTGATGTGGTATATTACTCTTGTAGTAACGGACAACATTCACACCCAAGGCGGTTTCTGTGAGTCTTTGGCATGATGATAATTCTGTGTGTTCCTGGAATAAATCAATTGGAGATACGCTTATGCATTCTTGTCCAGCCCTGTAGCACCAAATCTTAATCCTGATCCTGACTCAAAGGCTAAATCGTCACCTTGCAAGTACCTAGATCCCATGTGGCTGCCAGTTCTTGTCCAGGCCTCTCCACTTCCCATCCAATTCTGTGGTAATGGCCTTGGAAAGCAGCAGAGAATTGTTCAAACCCTCGACTCTGCACCCATGTAGGAAACCAGGAAGATGCTCCTGGCTCCTGACTTTGGGATCCATTCAACTCTGGCCAATGTGATCATTTGATGGGTGAATCTGAGAATGGAAGATCTTATTTTTTTTTTTCTATATGTGCTGCAGAAGCGAGCACAAGAGAGAATAATAAGATCTTTCTCTCTGTCTCTGTTAATCTGATCTGCCTTTCCAATAAAACTAAATAAATCTTTACCAAAAAAGGTTAAATCCCTATTGGATGATGCCAAAATATCATATCAGTATTCTTGTCAAGTCTCAATTGCTTCGTTTTTAAATCAGTTCCCTACAAATGCATACAGGGTTACAATGTTGGGGGCCATTGGTGGGCATCCAGCAGGGCATGGGTTGCCTTGCCCAGACCTTTGGGCTCATTTTTACAAGGGGTACCAGATCCATGAGCCCTAGGAGATGGATTCTGGCAGATCTTGATCATGTGTGCCAAGACCTAGGGCCTCCCTATGAGAACAGTTCCTCCTCATTGGATAAGACAGAGCAGTGGGTGGCAGGCCTTATGCACATGGAGCATATTGCAGTTCATTGGATTCTGCAGAGGACAGCTAATACCACAGCTGGGGAAGAAGAACAAAAACAAATTAGACAACTACTCCAGACAAACAGTGACAGCAGAAACCTGGGCAAATACAGATGCTAAGGTTGATTATGTTAGTCAATTGACAGCGGGATAGTTTCCTCATCTTTGTTTTGGCAAGATGGAGAACATTTCAGAACTATCCAAACCACATGGGCAGAACCCTCAGAAAGTGCTCCTCATTGGGACCATAGGTTGATATTGGACCATTCTCCATCCCTGGGTACTGGGGCAGTTTGTAGGCTGAGCATGGATTCTCTCATTGTGTCGTGTCTCTCCTTCCCCCAGAATCAGGAAGAAATAAAACATTTGGAAACCATAATCTCACTCACTTTTCCCTAATTCCAGATCTTTCCTACCCTGACCAATTATGTACATTTATCAAAATTAAAAACCTAAAAACTGAAAAAGGAGGAATAGTAACCCTTAACTACCCAGTAGCAGCCTTCGTCGTGGTTGCGTCTCTCAGAGGGTCCACCACCTCTGATTCCTCACCATCCATTTTAATGTTTCTGTTGGGCAGGAGAGGAGAAGGGGATGGCTATTCGTAATGGTTGCTTTGTTTGATTTATTAAATTTGCAGTCATTACTTTAAAAAATTATAAATGAAAGAGGTTAGGCCCCTATTGAATGATGCCAGTTTAACAGATCAGAGTTCCACTTCTCATCTGAGTTGTTCCACTTCTCATTTGGTACCCAGAGGATGCTCCTGCCACCTGCATGGTTTTCCTTGGTGTCATTCCAGGTCCCTGGCCTCATCGAAAACAAACCATAGACTGTGTAGCTTTTGTGTACAGAAGCAGTGGATGGTTGCACACACTCCCTTCTGTCTTTCTTCTCTCTCGCAGCATGGATTAAACAATTAACCTTATTTCTTAGTTGCTTCTTAACTCAGTTTTCTGTCACCTTCTCAGCATACTCACGTGTCTAATAGCAGATTATGGCACATCACACTATTAAACTTTGTTCATATTCAGCTCCGTCTTTACAGCGTCTCTTGTCAATGGACACAGTGTTGTCAGGCAGTCTTTCCTGACCAAAAGCATATGTGGACTGTTGTGTGCAATGGACGTTGTATTTCCACAGATAGACTCCTTATGACATGAGAGTCAGAGATGACCTTCCCATTGGCAGATGGAATCACCGGAGAAGGTTAGGTTTTGTTCATTTCAGTGGCAGAGAGACAGGATGATAGAAAGCTCTCACCAGCTGGGTCACTCCTCAGTTCCTGGGGTCCGTACAGTGGATGTGGAGGACATAAAAGTGTGTGGAGAACTGTTCCATTGCAGGTAGAGGCACAAGGAATTTCCCTCTGCATGGCTGCACCCAGCGGATATCTCTACAAGCCACTTGAAGGCAGTTTAACCTTCCTTTGCATGGACACTGGACTACCCAGCTGAAGAATTCTGTAATCAATTCAGGCATTGTTTACTGCAGTAGAGTTGGTTTTTTCACTATCAGTGTGAGCTTAAAGGTTAATGTCCTTGTTACTGCAAAAGGACATTTTATTGGTCAGGCTGTCTCTAACTCTGCTACCTCCATTTGACCATCCTTAATCTTTAGGTCATGCAGCCCTTTTTGTGTAACGCATTTCCTGCTGTTGACTGATTCAAGATTAAGTTGTAGAATGAGGATTGTAGTACAAATATGTTACTGATTGATGTACACATCAATGGAGAACTTCTACTGAGAGCTTTAAGGTGAAACAAAGGGCAGAATTTTCCTTGGAAACACCCAGTTGACCATGAAGTACAAAGGCTGTGCCAGGGCTTGTGACTGTTTCTGTGTAAATAAAGGGAATAACACTGATGCATTGTCCATATGATCATGAAATCATAGTGGTCCATTTATATTCTCTTATGCCTACTCCACACACCCTTCATGAGTTCCAAACTCAGCTGAAGCTGGACTCTGGCCCTTGGTGACTGCAGGTGCTAAGCCTTGGCCATGAGCTGGCGTTGGGAGCTGGAATTGGAATCTGGGTCTCTCATTGGCAAACAGGAGAGCCTTGATGGGTGCAGGCCAACTGAGCTAGGCCACAGCCCAGCTGACAAGTTCCAGGAATAAATGTGAATCACATCAAGCAGGATGGCAGCAGTCCCTAGCAGGTGCAAGATCTGGTGCTGGGAACATGCCTGGCAGGGGAACTGTTGGCACTTCCCTGCTAGGCTGTACCTATTACTGTGTCACAGCATCCATCAGTTCATGTGAGAATTGGGTCTGAGCAACAATATGTCCACTGCCTGGTCCAGGTGATGGACTGAATCTGACCCTGCCCTGGCCAGTGCAAAGAAGTGTCAAATCTGAGGTCACCCCAGGTGAGTTCTCCTGGGAATTCCCCAACTACATCCTTAAGCTCTAACCCAGAAGTGCAGGTGTTGGACTGGGTCTCCCCAGTTGCTGATGCCTGAGTAGTGAACATCATGGAGACAAGAAAGCCAACTCCTCTGGCTCAGTGGGGGATGTTGATTGTGCCTGAACCCAGAGCAGTCCACCCACCTTCTGACAGATACTCTGATTTTGCAAAGCCTGGTCTACCCTGAACTCTGCCTTTCATGCACCAATGACAGCTCTAGCCCAGCAAGAGAGTCCCAAAAGTTTCCCTAAGAGGCCTGTTACCATTCCTGGATCTTGTGTGTGTTGGCAGGTGCTTCAACCCAACATGACCTGGTACATCCACATCTCAGCTCTTGCAGGTGGGTGTTGCAGCCAAGCCCAGCTGTGCACAGCACACATCCTTTCCAGGTTCTGTTGTGAGAAAGCAATTGCTCAGGTTTTGTCCTACTTGGCCTGCCCTCAGACTTGGCCCACGGAAATGCTGATGTGTGCTACAGACTTGCCTGTCCTAGCCCACCCCCAAAGCCAACACTCATGCTCCACACAGGGAACTGCAGACTTGGATGGGAGTTCCACAATTTCTGTCACCGTACCTGTTCCCAGCCCCGGATCTCACACATGCCAGCAGGGGCAGTGGCCCAGCCTGATACGATCTGCCCTCAGTCCTGGGCCTTGCATGTGTTGTCCCCAGTTTGTCTCTTCACAGTCCCAGCTCCCATGAGCGTCAGGTAGGTTATGGTCAGATGAGATTGTGGTCCAGCCTGTCTTGGCCTGTCAACACCCCCAGTTCTCCACATTGCCAGCTAGTGTTGTTGTTTCACGGAAGTGAGACTACAAATATCCTAGAGAATCTACTCCCAAATCCAGTTCATATGCATTCTGATGGGTGCTGTTGCCAGCCTTGATGTATGTAGCCTATGCTTGTGTTGATACTTACAAACCAGCAAGGTGTGCCCAGTAGCACCAGCTTTGCATGCATCAATGGGCAGCAGGTAATCCTTTTTAGCCCAGCCCAGGCTTCCCAGGTGGGAAAATGTCTTGTCTTGTCCCAAACACACCATCCATTTTCCCTGTATAAACCGTTAGATCATACCTTTTTTGTGTCATATTTTTAGAGAAAATTATTTAAAGACAGAGAGTGGGAAAGGGAGATGGAGGGAGAGAGAGGGAGAGAATGTCCATCGGTTGGCTCACTCCCAATGGGCCATGATAGGCAGGGCTGAGCCTCCATGAAGCCAGCTGCTAATTCCTAGTCTACCATTGGGTGACATATTCGTTTCTTTTTTTTTATTGTTAATAACATTGTATTATGTGATACAGTTTTATAGACACTGGGATTTCCCCCACCCCTCCCACAGCCCTCCCCCATGGTGGATTCCTCCACTGGCTGCATAACCACAGTTCAAGTTCAGTTGAGATTCCTTCATTGCAAGCATATACCTAGCATAAAGTCCAGCATCTTATTGTCCAGATAAGTTCAGTGGCCTCTTGGGGAGACCTTCTCTGGTC